TGCCTCCAGCAGGGAAGACTGTGGGTAGGTGGGGTGTGTGTGTGTGTGTGTGTGTGTGTGTGTGTGTGTGTTTGCGGTAGTGGGAGGAAAGCTCCATGATTTTTTTTCCCACAAGCAGACTGTTGCTTGCATGCACAAGGGGATTCAGTTCAGCTCAGCCAATGTTTACAGAGCACCTCCTACCTTCCAGGCACTGTTCTACACAGGGACCAGTCCGACCTTCCCCTGAGGTGAAGCCATTCGCATCAAATAAACGCCTGGACAAACAGAGGCTCTGTCCGAAGGGAATAAAGAGGGTTGCCTAGCAAAAGACACTAGAGTCAGGCCCTGTCTGGCACAATCTCTATCATTTATAAGCTGATGACTGGGCAAGTCGCTCAGCATCTCTGAGACTCAACTTCCTCATCCATAAAATGGGTACAGTAACTGCTGTTTCTGCCCTCTCAGCATCTATCCCCTCCTTCTCAAGGACACCTTGATTTTCATTAGGGCTGTCGGAACAGCATCACCTGGGACTTGTCAGAAACGCAGATGCTCAGCTCAGGCCCAGACCTTTGGCTTTGGAAACACTGGGGTTGGGGCGGGCAGTGTGGGGGAAGTGCACCTGTGTATCTTGGGCTTCTAAGTGGAGCAAATGATGCTTTATTATCACTGCCTGTTTGTTGGTTCTAAAAATAGCGTTAATAGGTTCTATAATAATAAAAACAAATTGCTAGTGGTTGCGATGTGCCAGGCGGAGAATGGCCTCACCCACACTCCTGTCCTTCCAGGGGTGGCCCGCCAATGACTATGTAATGGGAGATTAGGAGGGCCTGTTCATCTCAGCCCAATTTGGGGCATCTCTGCACGGCCACTGTAGGCCAGGAGCTCCCCGTGGGCTCAACTGAGGCTGTGGTTGGGTCTGCTTCCTGGTGGCCCTTCTCCCCCTGCCCTCCCCTACCTTCTTCCCTTCCCTTCTGTGAAGGATGACCCCCAAGCGCACACCTTAGTAAATATCCCAAGGGCTACACTGCATCTCAGAGACTGCTTCCTGGGCATTCAGACCCATGACAACGCTCACTCCACGCGTAGGCATCACTGTCGGCCCTTCTTACAGATGAGAACACTGAGGCTCCGAGAGGTGCCGTGCGGGGCTCCCATGTCATGAGGCCGGTGAGCAAGGAGACATGGGATGGGAAGCCATGGGTCTCTGCTTAGGGAAGTGGCATAAACCAGCTTTACAAGGGTGCCTCTGGCTGCTGAGTGACGAAGAATATGGGAGGGGGGCAGGGCAGAAGCAGGGGGAGCAGCGGGGAGACCACGGATGACAGCAGCACCCGGAGAGGGGAAGGGGCTCCAGAGGGGAGCTGGGCTTCCTCATCACTGTAGCTTCTTCAGGATCCAGCACAGAGCCGGATGCAGCCAAGGTGCTCTGTACATACCCAATGAATGAGTGAGTGCAGAAGCGAGAGAATGGGTACAAAAATTAAGGCAGGAGGGAACTAGACACCCCCATGCAGCCTGAGTGATTAGCACGGGGCCCACTGTATAGGGCTTCCTAGCTAAGGTGCTGAGTGGATAAATGAGCCAAGTTCCAGGTAGGGAGAGAGGAGGAGAAGAGCACAGGAGAGGAAGGGGAAGGAGGGAGGGGGAGGGCGCCAGTGACTGTCATTGTCGCTGCAAAGAAGCTTCCCTCCCCTTCCATCCTCCTCCTTCCCTCCTCTTGTCCCCTCCCTTCTCTGTCCCTCTTTCTCTCTCCTCCCTCCCTTGAGAGGATGGAAGGGGAGGGAAGCTTCTTCCCACCGACAATGACAGTCACTGGCGACCTCTGCTGGCAAACAGAGCCACTCCTCTGGGCTCGAAGAAGGCAATTCCGTCCTTTGGAGGGGCAGCACCCTGAAATCAGGACACAGGTGGAAAGTTCTAGTGCCCTTGTCAGCTGGGTTCTCACAGCCAGGGGCAGCCGGGTTAGGACCAGGATGAGGTAAGTGAGGCTCTCACTAGGGCACACATTTAAGGGGGCACCTAAAAACTCAGTCATCAAGACACATATTTTAATGTAATATTAAAAAAAACAACTCAGCTAACTGTGGCCCCCAAGCCTGGTTTTATAAAGAAACTGCATTGGAACCAGGATCAGGATCAGGGCTGACTTTCTCGGTCACGGACGAGATGATACCCACATGCCTTCACTGGGGCTGCTCCCAGATCCTCGAGCCAGCAAGAACATGCCTGCCTGTGCAGGGCACAAAGTGCCGGCTGTCTGCACAAAGACTTTGAGGAATCTGGAATTGCTGAGGGTTGCTGGGCCCTTTGTGAGGTTCTAAACCAGGGACAGAATCCACTGCTCACCTCGGAATGACTGACAATTCCTTATTTCTCATCATGGGCCTGGGCTGAGTACACAGACAGATCTTCTCCCAGAACATGTATGATTTCTCCAGGAGCCCCCTCTCCCTCAGTGCTTGCAAAGATCACTTTAACTCCTCTACTGCTGAGGCTGCTTCACGTCACACGCGCCAAGGGGGCCAAGCAGTTTGCGGCCCACGCTCTGAGGCCTCCACCCCAGGCCACCGCCGTCACTGACCTGGCCAGCTAGCTGTGAAGCCTTCTCCCTCGTTTCTCGATTCCCCTTTTGCCCCCTAAGCCCTTTTCCTATCAATGTAATCCTTTCAAAACATAAGTGAGATGTCTCCCTGTTTAAAATCCTCCAGGTCGCCCTGAGAATAAAACCCAGGCTGCTTAGCCGGCCCTGCGCGTTCTGGTCCTTCCCCACCTCTCCGATCTCACTTCCTGTTCCTCCTCCGCTCTGCTCGCTGCAAACCGGCCACCCCTCCAACATCAGTTTGTTCCCTAGGGGAGTAAAGCCAGCTGCATGTCCCCTCTGTAGCTCCAGTGCCTGGCGCACACTGAGCCCTAGGAACGTGTGGGCCAATTACAGCTGTACAGGTGTTCTCCCCCCGAGGCAAATATGAGCCTTATTAGCCTTACAGTACTCGTGAGGCAAAGGGAATGAGCCCTCTCATTGACTGAAATAATCGAAAAAATTACTCCCAGCCCCGAGGGCCCCTTGAGTTTGTTGAAAATGTTATATAATGTTATGTTGTATAATGAAAATGTTATATAGTGCCAATTATTACATATTAGATATATATTGTGCCTATAATATAAAGATAAAAATATAAGCAATAAATATTATAACATACATATAATGTAAAAATCATAATAGTATCATATCCAGCATTTCATTTCTTAAATTATCAGTGAAGAGCACATGGGCTTGGGAGCAGGGTCCAAGTACTCTCTGCTACCTGTGACATCTTAGACAAGTTCTCCCCTTCCTCAGCCCCTGTCTCCACCCACAAACGGGGGATAATACCCAACTTAAGAGTTGTTTGAGATCCAATATGAACACTCCCGGCACGGTATCTGATGAACAGAAAACAGGCAGTGACATGAACGCTCGTCTCTACTAGTCACCACTACCCAGGAAGGGAAGTTTTCACTCGGCCCTGGGCATCTGCCACAGCACAGGGCTACCAAGGTGAAGGAAACAGAGTCCAGGGCCCATGGGAATGCTCACTCCCCGCGCACCCCAGAATCCCACAGGACACTGGCCACACAGAAGGCACTCAAAGTCTTTATTTGCTAGCTAGAGCTGACAAGGAGGAAAGGTACTTTACTGTACTTCCCCACAGCCACACACCTCGGGGAAGAAACAGAGGCCTGGCAGGGTTGGTGTTTTTTGTTGTTGTTGTTGTTGTTGTTGTTGTTGTTTTTTAAGATCTTACTTATCAGACAGAGATCACAAGTAGGCAGAGAGGCAGGCAGAGAGAGGGGGAAGCAGGCTTCTGCTGAACAGAGAGCCCGATGAGGGTCTCAATCCCAGGACCCTGAGATCATGACCTGAGCCGAGGGCAGAGGCTTAACCAACTGAGCCACCCAGGTGCCCCCTACCTGACAAGGTTTCAAGCGTCAGCTAGTTAGAGGCATTTTGCATCTTGGCTCGGTCTTCCTGCCGCTTCCCTCAAACCGGCTGTACCACACTTGAGTCCTTCCCAAGTCACGCCACATCTTTTGTTCCGTGTACTTATTACCTGTGATATAAATCAGCTCGCTTCTTTACCTATATAAACTAAAAGGAACTTTATATCGATTACTGGTCTTCATTAGGAGGTAACCATAAAAATACAGAACGAAACTAAAAACAATGCTGTGTAAAGTTACATAAATTTCAGCTGCCTGAAAGCTATGAACCTGCTTTTTTTAACAAGACTGACAAGCAGTATTTTTCCTCTTTTTGTACTATGACCCTCAAAAAAGAAATGTATTTACATCAAAAGTCGGTATATACCTTGTCTATATACCTTTGAAATAATTTTTTTTTTAATTAACATCTAAAGTATTATTTGTTTCAGGGGTACAGGTCTGTGATGCATCAGTCTTACACAATTCACAGCGCTCACCATAGCACATGCCCTCCCCAATGTGCATCACCCCGCCACCCCGTCCCTCCCACCCCTGCTCCCCTCCAGCAACCCTCAGTTTGCTTCCTGAGACTCAGTGTCTTAGGTCTGTCTCCCTCTCTGGTATCATCTTGTGAAACAAATTTTTTAAAACAGTACTTACACGTCATGCACTCTGATACTCCCTAGTCTATGACTCTACTTCATTTTTAAAATGCGGGTGGCATCCCACTACATTGATTTCCAGAGGACTATGCCATGTACCCAACAAAAAATGCTGGACTGGAGGGCTGGTAGAGACATCCATCACCAACTGAGGCTTTGTCCTCGTCTCACCCGAAGGACTGAAAAGGAAATAACATTGTCCCTGTGTGGTTCAATGTTCTGCGATGCCATGCCTACGTACCCAGCATACATGTGGCACAGCCGGAGGAAGCCTGTCCTAGATCTCTTCCAGATACCCAATTCTGCCTAGAGCATGTCTTCTGTACACAGTAAGTTGTTGCGAACAGTCAACTGCAGATGATAATGACACTTAACAAGCATGATCACAGACAGAGCTTAAAAGTATCTCAACACCTTTATTTAAGTCTAACCTCATACTCAGAGCACTCCTTCAAGTTCACTTTGACATAAATGGCCCAAGTGTCCACACTTGTCAAGCAGGCTCTTCTACCCGACCATGGACCTCTTTCTTCCTCTCAGGCGCACTTCATCTAATTTTTTTAGCACCGGCCTGCACTTTTTGGAGAAGGTGGAGTAGCTCTTCAGAAAGGCTTCAAACACAGTCTCCGTATTGGGATGGGTACTGAGGAAGGCTTTCTCTAGCACGTAGAGATCAACCCCCTTATCTTCAGGAAGTGCTGAAACGAAACTGAGTCCAAAGTCTATAAGCACGATGTTCAGCTGCTCCACGGGGGGTTTCAGGAGCATGTTGGAAGTGGTGAGATCACCATGAATGAGGTCTTCATCGTGCATTCGAGCCAAAACCTGCCCGACTGTCCTGGCTAAGCCAAGGAGGCTTTGAGGAGTTTTTTCAGTCTCCATAGTAGACTGAATATAATCTCGAACAGTCACTGAGCCTTCAATTTCTTCCATGTATAAGCAGTTGGATGCATAGTCTACGAAAAAGACAACGGGAGCACATATCCCTGCAATCAAGACAGAAATGCTTATTGGATTAGATTCTTTCTTAATGTTAAGTTTAATTTTCAAAGACTGAGCCAGACTTGTACGGTGCACATCTGCTTATTTCAGGGAAAAAAAAAAAAAAAAAGATTTAGGAAAGCTGCAGAATAGTACAATGTAAGTCATCTGGAAGTTTCCCCTGTTCATGCCCTGCACGATTGTGCCTTAAGCCACCCCACAGCTAAGTTTAGTAGTGCCAAAGTGCCTTCCTCCTTTCCACTCTTCATGACTGGATTTCATTTGTCATACTTATTCCCTAAACAAAACAAAATAAAACAAAGAGCCAGAAGGGTAAAGCTTAGTCAGAGTACGTTCTACCTCAAAAGGACACAAACAGGCCAAACAGTGTTGGCTGAGAGATTTACCTTTGCAGTCAGAAAGGATGGGTTCAAATCCTGCCTCCCTTCCTTATTAGTAGTATAACCTAAAAGTCACATCCATTCTCTAAGCTTCTATTTCTGATTCTAGAACATGAGAATGATCCTTCCAAGAATTCAAAGAATTCATCACATTCAAAGATTCAGTGAGTATTTATTTGACAATCACGCCCAGCACACTATTCTAGATACTGAAGACTTCTCAGTGAGGATACAGCATGAACCAAAGCAGCTATGATCCCTCCTAAATGGAACTTACATCCTAGAGAGGGTGAAAACAGAAAACAGGAACACACAAATAACTTCATTAAATCCACCCAAGGGCAGAGATATGTCTGTTTGTCCTTACTGAATTTCCTCCAGCTCTCCCACTACCTAACAATGTTCTGGTGTAAAGCAGCTGCCTAAAGAATATTAATGAAAGAAAGGAAACGTAAAAGTCAAAAGCCAGTGTTTGAGTCAGAGCTTATGGGCTGAGAGCTTGACAGCCTGACTGGGTCACTCGCTAGCTGTGTAACCTTGGGCAGGTACTTCCCCTCTCTGAGCCTCAGTTTCCCATCTGAGGACAAGGCGTACTGTGATGGAGTACAACGGTTTTAACGAAAAACTAACAAACGATTTAATGAAACCTAAAAAGGGCCGAGCTCTATGTACCAGCCATACATCCAAACATACTGTGACTCCCATGTACAGGTGAGGAACCCGAGGGCGAGGTTAAATAATTTGTTGAAAGCCTGCAAAAGAACCAGTGGTGTCGGTATTTGAACACAGAGAGCCTCCTTCCACCGCAAGTTATTTGTAATTACATCTAAAAAAGTAATGAATGAGGGCGCCTGGGTGGCTTAGTCGGTTAAGCGGCTGCCTTCCGATGGGCTGGGGATCCCAGGATCTTGAGATCGAGTCCCGCGTGGGGCTCCCTGCTCAGCGGAGAGCCTGCTTCTCCCTCTCCCTCTGCCTGCCGCTCTGCCTGCTTGTACTCTCTCTTTACCTCTCTGCCAAATAAATAAAATCTCTTAAAAAAAAAAAAAGTAATGAATGAAGAAGAGATAATGATCAAACATTGAGAGGGTACAAACGGGGAAACCAAGGCTCGGGGCAGGTCAACAGCATGCTCCCCGTCAGGGGCAGACCCGGGAACGGAACCAGGAGCAAGGCTCCAGCACAAATTGTTCCCCCTGCTAGAAAACGCAGGTCCTTAAGAACGAAAGAATGAATAACGAGAGAGATGAAAGGATGGCATTTCGCAGCAGAAGTTCACGCAGAGGATAAAAAAGGAGACTGAGGCAAAACGGGGCGCGGCGCTCGGGGGAGACCCTCGCCCGCGTCTCCGGGGCCCCCAGGCCTCCGGGCCCGGCCGCCTCACCTGCGCGGCGGCAGCGGAGCAGCGCGCGGGCCTCCTGCACGGTTCGCCGCCTGCCGAGCCGCGCCTCCAGCGCGGGATGCCGGTAGCCCTTAGGGAAGCGGTGCTTCACCACGGCCGCGCGGCCTTGGAAGTGGCCGCGGAACACGCGCGCCTCGGCGCCCTGCTTCACCAGCTCCAGGCCGCTCAAGAACCGGCTGCTCCGCTCCCGAGCTGCGGCTAGCGCCTCGGCCTCCGCCGCCGGGTCCTCGTTCTTCCCGGCAACAGCAGCAGCCCCGGCGGCCGCCATGACGGAGCCCCGGCGCCGCCGCTCGGGGCCCGTCGGCTCTCTCCGGAAACTGCCGGCGATGTTCGGTTCGCGCCCTAAGCCTTCGGACCTCTTCGGCCACTCCAATGCCGGCACTTCCGCCTGTGGAAATGGCCCCGCCTCCCACATCTTCGGCTATCTCCGTAAGCCCTCGGCAACTCTCGGTCAGAAACTCTTTGCCCTCCTGGGCTCTCTCCTGCAGGGTTGAGTCTGATGGTTGGCCTTGGTGGCCCAGCCTCCCAGTTCTTTGACTCCTTCCGGAAATAGTTTACTAACGGACTCTAAAGAGCGTGCTAGTTTGGATGGTAAATTATATGGTCACCCTATGGGTGTTAGAGTGGCGGCGGGGTGTGGGTAGTGGTACAATGTTAAATAAGGTGGTTAAGAAGGCTTCTGCGAAAAGAGAAGGCTTCTGTGGACAGGTGACGTTTGAGCCCTGTGAGTGGGTGCCTGGAAGAAGAGTATTCCAGGCAGAAGGACTAGCAAGTGCAAAGGCCCTGGGGGAGAAGTGTGCCTGGCATATTTGGGGAAGAGCAAGTCTCTGTGCTTTAGTTTCTTATCTAAAAATAAGACTGTAAATAATACCCATCAGGGAGGTTTTGTGAGGATTAAATGAGGAACCAGGGGTGAAACACATAGAACTATGCCAGGCATATGAGAAGCATTCCGTAGATGAAAGCTGTTATTCTTTATGGAGGGCTTAATACAACAGCTATTAAAAGTAGGCTCCCAGCATCCAACCAGTCTTCAGGGGGACGGGCCTCCCTATAGTGCGGTGCCTCAGGGGGACACCAGAGCCACAATACACTGTAGAAGACCCTCCCTTCCCCCATTCTTGGCTGCTAGTGCTCAGAGACAGGAGCGCGGCGGTTTGTATGGCTTACAGCAAGAACCCTGACTTGTACCACCACTGAACGGCTGGGTGTTTGGGGACTGCGTTAGGCTTCAGGATAAGCTGCTATGAAAAGTGACCTAAAATAGTGGCTTAATTATGAGAGATCTTTCTTTCTTACCTAAAAGTATAGACCTGACATCCTCAACTTGGTTGCTCCCTTCTCGGAATCTATTCCAGTTGCCCCCGCCCCCTAGCTGGCAAGAAGAGGGATGAGAGTTGGGACAGTCGGCTAAGAACTCTATCCAGAGTTCCACAGGTCGCTTCCACTCACATCCCATGGGCTGGAACTCAGTCACATGGCCCATGAAGCTAAGAAGGAAGCTGGAAAACCTATTCTTTTTTTTTTTTAAGCCTTTTATTATTTTTTTTTTAAGATTTAATTAACTTATTTGTTTGACAGATCACAAGTAGGCAGAGAGGCAGACAGAAGCAGGCTCCGTGCTGAGCAAAGAGCCCAATGTGGGGCTTGATCCCAGGACCCTGAGATCATGACCTGAGCCAAAGGCAGAGGCTTTAACCCATTGAGCCACCCAGGCGCCCCTGGAAAACCTATTCTTTAGCAGGGCAGTCATGAACTCAGCTACAACTTCGGGAAAATATCACTAAAAGGAAGTAAGGGAGAAATTATAATGGGACAATTAGTGGACTGCCACAGTTTTGATATTTTAAGTGGCAAGTAGCAGTTTTGTCAATTAAATAGCTTATTTAGGATAAACAATAAGTTCATTTATTATCCAACAGAACAAAACTTTAAGAAGTAAGGGGTCCCGAGTGTTCTTCAGTCACTTTATGATTTTCAGGACCCAAGGTCTTTCCATCTTTTTATCTTTATGTCTGTACTCATCCCCTTCGTCAGCCTCAGCTTTGGCCCCTATGCTTGTCATCTTATGGTCACAAGACGGCCACCAAAGTTTCACACGTGTTATGAGAACACAAAAATATCTGGCCAAAGAGGAGAGGGGCTACATCCTATACACTTCTCTTTATTTGGGAGAAAACCCCTTGCTGGAAGTCCCTCATCTCCCACCCACCAGGCTTCCTCCACAGGACGTTGGCCACGAATGGTCCATGCATCTTTGCTTTAGCTGCCGAGGCAGCTGGAAAAGTGAGAATCTGGCATTTTTGGCCTGTACAGACAGACACCTGTTCTGGAAGCAAAGAGGAAGGGAGCCAGGCATCGCCACTGGGGAGGCAGCCTCAAGTCCCTGATGCACTGTGTGATGGAGAAACGAGCATCACATCTTTAAGGTTCAGATTTCTAGTTTTACCATGAGAATTGTTTATTAAGGTGAAATATTAAGATGTTGCTTGTGAGGGTGCCTGGAGGATGGATGGCACTCTTCGTATGCTCATTTTCCTCCCCCCATCATTGGGACCCTGTTTGAAATACTGAAGAAAGGCCCTTTCGTCCAGGGGTTGCTATGACACCAGCCCTCAGCTCTGCAGCCCCTGCATTCCATTCATACCCAGGGCATGCCACCTTCTCAGGCATCAGACCCTTTGTGTGGGCACAATGTGGTTTCCAGCAGCTTTCATCAGCCCAGACTACTCAGAGCTCACCCAGAACCAGTTCTATTTACAACGCCTAGTTTCCCAAGTTTGTGGCTTCATTATCATAATTGTTAGTGACCACATAGCCATCTCCGTGGTTACCAAATTTGTCTGAACCCCTCCTTTGGAAAATCCTCTGTGCAAACATATTTACAAGTCCCAGGCTCACTGTGGCCAGACTGGTTCTTGCTTCTATCATAGGAAAACCTAGTTTAAAACCTTTCAATGGCTCCCCATTGCGCTTAGGATTAAACACCCACGAGGTTTTACATGGGACCCTTCTGTCTCTCTTCTAGGCTCATCTCCGGCCAAGCTCCCATTTGCTCTCTGATCTTCAAACACCTTTGCCTTCTCGTAGTCTCTCATTCTTACCAGTTTCCTTCTTTTGTTAGGGCCTTTGCATCTGCTGTTTCCCAAAAGAGAAGTGCTCTTCCCTCCCTTTGTTGCCTCGACCCATCCAGACATTTTTGCAGGCTCAGCTCAAGGGTCACTTCCTCAGGGAGGCCATCCTTGACTTCTCAGAGGAGAGAAACCCAACTTTGATGAGTTCTGACATCTCTTTTTGGCATCGTCACAGACTTTCCTTTTTTGTATGTTTGTATGACCATTTAAGGAGTGGCACTTCTTGAAGGCCACTCTCTGTTCTTGCCTTTTGGGCCTCTCCATTGGGCAGCACACAACATGGCAGGTGGCTTTGCCAGAGAGGGTAAGTGACAGATCAGAAGAGGCTGGGCGCGATGGAAATCACCATCTTTTATAACCTATCTCTGGGATGACATCCTTCACTTTTGCTGTATTAGAAACAAGTTAGACAGTCCTGCCCACCTTCTTGGGAAGCCATTTTTGAAGACGCTTACTGAAAGGACCCATTAGATCATTTCCGTTCTCACTTGTGAAGAGGGATGCTCTATTCTCTAGGAGAGACAGAGCCCAACAGCAATCCTATATATCCTCATGACTTGAAAGTGAGCCACAGAGATCAAAGAACATCTAGGGACTTCGTGCCCTTTCTAACATACAGCTTCTGTAGGTTATCTCATGGAAATGGAACAGCCCAGGCCTTGCTGTACTAGGCTCCCATATCACCAATCTATCATAGCCACACTGACTCAGGAAACCAAGGGGTAAGCAACTGCCCTGGCCCACTGTTCCAACCTGGGATCCTCTAGGGGCTGGACAGATCAGAAAAATAGCTCCTGGCTATGTCTGCCAACACTGTTGTCAAATGAATGAGATTAACTCCTCCTCCTCGAGAGAGAGGCCAGTAACTCAAAGAGGCCAGGGTTTGGGAAAGAGAAAGGGAGAAATTTATTTGTGATGCAGGCAGCCGGTGGGATGGTTGGTGATAGGCTTAAACCTTAACAACTGACCTCTCCTCCCAAAAGACAGACACCTGGGTTTTATAAGGAGAGGTTCGGGGGCTACTGCAAGACACCTGGCAGGGAGTGTGTGCTCATGAGTGGGGGTTCGTATGTGTTCAGTACATGGTCACGGGCAGAGAAGGGGATGTGGTCTTCTAGACACTCTTTTGCTATCGGAGCTTTTCTGGCCTGGTAATTGGAACGTTCCTGTCATTGCAAAACATCTTCATCAGTACAAGAAAGTGCAATAAGGAATAAGAACAATGGGTTTCAGTTAGAGCATGAGTTAAGGGGTCTTGTCTATTTCTGGCTTTAACTCTTGGGGTCTATAGTTGAGTAAGGACTCACAGACATCCAGGTGACAATTCTGGATACTCACAGATGGAGGAGGAATTGTCATGTGACAATGGCCACGAGGCCTCCTTGAGCTCTTCTCCATCCCAGAAAGGCAACAGAGTGGGATGGAGAAGAGCCTGATTTCCTCATAAGTGGGCTTGACTCCCCACCCAGCTACATCCTGGTGTGTGTCCTTGAGCACAACAGATCTTATTATGCAAGCCCCTTACTTCACCTCCCTTTGTCTCAGTTTCCTCATTCATAAAACAGGAGCAAATGGTAATAGTTACTATCTCATGAAGCAGTTGTGAGGGTTAACAGTGAGCTAATAATGCAAAGTACTTAAAGTGTGTAATTATCACTTAATAATCTATTGTTCCTATTATTATTGCTGCATAACAATTTACTCCAGAACTTTGCACCTGAAAAGCACCCATTTATTTTACTCCTGGAATTTGCGGGTCAGGAATCCAGACTGGAAACAGAAGGGACAGCTTGTCTCTGCACCACAATGTCTGGAGCCTCAGCTGTAAAGATTTGACAGCTAGGAGCTGGAATCATCTAAAGGCGTGTTCTGGAAGCAGGGCTGGATGACTTCAAGACGAGGACCACCCACTGGCGTGTCCACTCATGGCCCTTCTGTGCCTTGGGCTTCTTCACAGCATGGCAGCATCTAGGTAGTTGGACTTTTTAGAGGCTCAGGGTTCCCAGTGCCAGTGTCCCAGTGCCACAGCCTCAGGAGTCACGCGGTGCCAACTCTGTGCCACCTACTGGTTGAAGCAGTCGCAAGCCCACTTAGATTTCAAGAGAGGGAACAAAGAATTTTGGAGCCCTGTTTTCAAATCACCTACGGAGGATCTGGGTGTGTTGTTTTCAGAACTGTACAAGGGTCCCCTGGCTCAGAAGGTCTTGGTGGTTCTTCTTTGCCAAGAGGGCTATATGTGTCTGTGACACACAATCCCCGCTGGGTGAGAGCGTGACTCACGATGCCCATGAACCAGTGTGTCCGTGTGAACATGCCACGAGAAGCTGGACAAGCCTGTGGCCATGTGAATGCAGGCCTTATCAGTGCATTTTTGCCTGAGGAGAATTAGTGGGGTGTCCCCAGTCTGGTTCCTTTCTAGAGCTCATATATGGAATTGCTTGCCTATGTTCACACGGATGCCTAATGAGAACTTAACTGTTGCACACCCAGAACAGAACTCTGCCCCCAAGCCTCTCCTCTCCCAGGGGTTAAGTCCTTGAGTCTGTTTGCCATTGGATCTACTTTCCTCCACCCTCACTGCTATTCCCTTTGTCCAAATCAACCTCTCTCTCACCTCCCAACAGCCTCTTCCTCTTGGGTTCCCCTAGTTCTGCTCTTGCTCTCTATAACCTACTAGAACTCTCCCGTTATTTCTTGTGTCCATGGGAATAAAATCCACATTCCCAGCCCTGGTTTCCCAAGGTCTTAAAAGATCTGGCCCTTGCCAACCCCTCCCTGCACTCTTCCCATCAAACCTTGTGCTCCAGATACCGTGGCTTCACTTCCCTTCTTCTTTATATACTCCACAAGCTCCTTCCACCACGGCAGGGCGCCGCCTTTGCCTTCGCTCTTCCCTCCGCCTGGAACCTCAGGTCTCAGCTCAAACATCCCCCCCCCCCCCCCCCCCCCCCGGGCCGCCCCTTCCCCCCCCCCCCCCCCCCCCCCGGGAACCCCAGGTCTCAGCCCAAACCCCCCCCCCCCCCGCCGCCCCCAGAGAGCTGCCTTTCCAGACCCCCAGCTGTATAGGCAGGACCCCAACCTGTGCCTATACACCCCAGTGGCCTGATTTTCTTCTCTGTCTCGCCTTCACTACTAGTCAGATATTTCTTTTCTTTTCTTTTTTAAGATTTTATTTATTTATTTGACAGACAGAGATAACAAGTATGCAGAGAGGCAGGCAGAGAGAGAAGAAGGGAAGCAGGCTCCTGGCTGAGCAGAGGGCCCCATGCGGGACTCGATCCCAGGACCCTGAGATCATGACCTGAGCTGAAGGCAGAGGCTTTAACCCACTGAGCCACCCAGGCGCCCACTAGTCAGATATTTCTGCGCTTCCCCCGCTAGAAGGCAAACTCCACAAGAACAACAAAGGATGTCTTGTCCTTCCAGCCCACCACCTAGCACAGCGCCTGTGGGTCCTCTGGTGGTGTCCCAACCCAATTGTCCAATGAATTCACCGTGGTCCAGAGGAGCATGTCTGGGTGGCTGAAGCGGGTTTTGAGTGTCCTGGTTGGTCAGCAAACGTGTGATTGTGTGTGTGTGTGTGTGTGTGTGTGTGTGTGTGTGTGTGTGAGTGTGTCTGTACACAGGCTGGAGAGGCCAGCAGTGACCGAGGGTGCTCTTTCCCGTGGGGAGCACAGCAGAGGGCAGCGTGTGGGGATCCCCACAACAGGGGTGACAGTGGACGGGGACCAAGAGGAGGTTAGTGGGTGGGGACCCCCGGCCAGGCCCAGGGCGGTCCCTGGCTCCCCTCGTCCCGCCTCCCTGCACAGGGGGCCCGGGTTGGCCTACGTGGCGGCGGCGCTACAGGCGGGCGGGCGGGCTGGGAGGAGGGACGGAGGCGGGAGGCGGGCCGGAAAGTTTGTTGGCGGCCGAGGCAGGGACTCCGGCGGGGGGGTGCGCGCCAGCCCCAGCGCCCCCAGCTCGCGCGGGAGTCTTGCTCGCCATGGGTAAGTGGAGCTCGGGGGCTGCCCGCGGGGGAGCCCTTGCGACCCCAGCCGCGCGCCGGCCCTCGCCCCCGCCCCCGCCAGACCCAGTCGGGTGGGGACAGCGGGCCCCCGTTGAGCGCTGGGAGGGGACGCGAGCGCACTTCCTTCCCTGCTCCTTTCTGCCCCCAAAAAAGTGAGCCGGGAGTGCTCTAGACTTGACACTGAGCGCGAACTCCGGGCAGGCCCTCTCCAGACCAATTCAAGTCTTGCAGCCTCTCCCCGCCTCCTCCCTGCAGGGGAAAATGCTCCTATTGGGCAGATAAAGGAACCGAGGCTCCGAAAGGAGCAATTTGATGAATCCGTTTGCTGCACACTTCTGTTGCCAGGCCTCGGGAGGCTGCCATGAAGAACACAGACAAAACCTCTGCTTTGGACGTATTGGATGTGGGGAGACTGAAGATCAGAATCCACAACTGGGAAGGGAGGTGGCGGGGAGAATAGGGTATTGCTTTGTTGCTACAGGGAACTGGGATTTCCATTTCTCTCTCTGGATCCCGAGCCTCATTAAGTCCTCAGTCGTTCATCCTTCTGCTGTGTGGCAGGGGTTGGGAATTCAGTGGTGAACAAAGCTGATGACAGTCCTGTCTTCCGTGGGGCTGACATTCCAGTTGAGAAGCTGGAAAGAAGTAAATGAATGAAATAATCTCCAAGAGCGATAAGATGCTGTGGAAAACAAAAAACGAGGTGGTGTGAAAATGTTGAGGGAAGCAGTTTCTTTAGCTAGGTGGGCCCTGAACGTCTCCCAGGGTAGGAGGCACTGGGGTGGAGGCATCACTTAGAAGTAGGTGTGCTACAGTCTAGAGAAAGAGCAACAGGAGGGCAGGGATAGCACATGCAAAGGCCCTGAGGCACCAGTGGGCTGATGTGATCCGGCCAGTGTGACTGGAGCACAGTGGGCAAGGGGACAAGGGTGGGAGGTAGGTCAGAGAGTTAGGCAAGGGCTAGACTGTGTAGAACTTTGTAGGCCATGGCGAGAAGTTTGGGTTTTATTCCAAATGACATAGGAAGCTGGAGAAGAGGTTTAAGCTGGGGTGGGACATGACCTGAATTGTGTTTTGGAAATTCAGTCTGGATTATTCTGTGGAGAATCCTAATAGCTAACAGTGGCTACAAGGTAGGTAGGCATATAAGGTAGATACTACTATGACCCACATTTGTAGATGGGGACGCTCAGAGAGGTTGATGAGCTGCCCAAGGTCACGCAGCTATGGAGTAGAAAAGCTGGGATAGAAGCCCAGCACTCTGGCTCCAGTCTGCATTCCCAACCACTGTACCACCCAGCCTATCCTGCAGAGTCATGGTACAACTGGTCACCAACTCCAGCTTGGACTCCAAAGTATATGCTCCTAACCCTCAAGGTGCACTGCCCCAGAGCCTGAGGGAAACACAGGCCCAGGGAGGTCCTCCCAAGAACACTAGCTTGACCTTGGACCCTCGCACCTGCCCCTGCGATCCCTTTGCTGCCTCCTAAGTTAATCCAGTGGCTGTTGACTGAGCATCACTTGAGGACAGAGCTGGGGCTGGTTGGAAGCAGGGGAGGGAGGTACAGACTAACTGGTACTAGGTTCTGTCCTCCCCATCATCCCAGCTGCTTTCCCAGGCTCCCTTTCTCCGAGATTGGGCCCCGGGTGTAGACCTGGATTCCAGCCCCCATCCTCCCACTTCCAGGTGCATCGTCTAGTCTACTTCTCTGACTCTCAGGTTCCTTATCTATGAAACAACCCCCCATAAAAGACGCTATCACAAGGCCGCGGTGAGAATGACGAGAGCAAATGATCAGAAAGGGCTGGGCTCACCAGCTACACATGGCAAATGGTCTGCACATGTGAGCTTTTCTTTTTTCTTTCCTTCCTTCTTTTTTTTTTTTTTTAACCACGTCTAGTGTGGGGACCCCGGAGTCAGTCCAGTCCCTGCTCTGTCACCTTGGACAGTGTCTTCTCCTCTCTGTGCCTCAGTTACTTCATCCGTAAAATGGGAATGACAGCCATGCCTGGGTCATAGGTTTGCTGTAAGAATTAAGTCAGCTGATGCAGATACGACTTCCCGTAGGAGAGGCGGGCTGGCTGTGGTGAGTGCTCTGGGAGTATTAGCCATGTTGGGACGTTTGGAAATCAGCCCTCTGGCTGAGGATAGTAGCAGAGTTCAGTGTCACTCTCGTTTCTCCCTGGAACCTGAGGGAGAGCCGTCGCAGCTCTCTGGCAGGGAAGGGACCCAATGCATTGTGACTTCTGGTGGGGAGACTGTTCTGGTGTCACCAACAAGAGGCTCCCTGGGACTTGCAGCCGGTGATATGTCCAAACCTCCGAAACCTGACTTCTTTCCCCTTCCCCTGCTCCCTGATTCTCTCCCTGGGAAGCTCTGTTCTCTGCAGTGAGGGGCTTAGAGGATTAAGGGATTTTCTCCAGTGTGAGACCGCTTCACATACAACCTTTTGTTGGTTTGTTTAGAGAGGGAGTGTGTGTGTGTGTGTGTGTGTGTGTGCGCGTGCGTGCGCGCACGCCCCATGTGTGGGCTGGGGGAGGGGCAGAGGGAAGGGAGAGAGGAATCTTAAGCAGGCTCCCAGCTCAGTGCAGAGCCTGTTGTGGGGCTGGATCTCACAACCCAGAGATCATGACCAGGAGTCAGACATTTAACTGACAGAGCCACCCAGGTGCCTTAGACAGATAATTAATAGAAAGGGGGAGCAGTTCCCAAACCCAGGCTGGGCCCTATTTTGGGGGCCAGGATTCACTCTACTTCCTGTGGAGTTTGGCCCCTTCCAGGCCCTAGACCTCTCCAAAGAGACCTCTCTCTCAAGAGCCAGGACCCTTCCTCTCTGGCTTCCCTAAGCCCCCAGAGCCCCTTCATCCAATCTTCTGTTTATTCAACAAGTATTTACTGAGCGCCAGGAAGTGTCGTCAGCATGGGGGAGATAGCTAAGGACAAAAAAAAATTCCTGTTCCTTTGGGGTCAACATTCTGGTTGGAGAGAACAATAAATATGTGAAACATATAGTTCTTTCAGAGGTGAGAAGTTCCTTGGAGGAAAACCAGCAGGGATGGGCCTTAGAAGTGCTGGGTGTGATGGGGAGGTTGGTCTTTTAAGTAGAGGGCCAGAGAAGGCCTCCCTAGAAGGTGATGTTTGAGCCAAGACCAGAGGGAAAGAGAGAAGGAGTGGAGGGTGGGGAGGGCTCTCCTGGCAGAGGTGACAGCTGGTGAAAGGTCTAGAGTTAAGTCACACAGGAATGAGGAGGAACAGCAAGGAAGGCGGCAGGACAGAGGAGAGAGAGAGAGAGAGAGAGAAGGGGGGGTGGCACGCAGGCAGGTCCCGCAGAGCCTTGAAGGCCACTATAAGGACTTCGGGTCTTTTCAGACTGAAGTGGGAACCCCAGGGACTCTGAGCAGAATGACTCAGGCTTTCACAGGACCGCTGGGGCTGTCACACAGCATTCTGCTAGGTTCAAGTGTATCTGACATGGCCCCTGGGAGGCCACGTGCTGACACCTCCCTAGTCCCCCAACTCAGTCCTCGGTTCATGAGGCAGAGACCTTACTGAGCCCCTCTGGGACATCAAGACAGTGCTGGGGCTCAGGAGGCACAGACAGGAAGTCTCCATCACTGCCCCGCCCGGTTTAATGAGGAAGACACGGCAACAAACTTGAGATGGTGTCAGCCAGTGAAGGGGGGAGGCGGAGTTGGTGAGAAGGGAAAAGTGTGGCTTGGAGGAATTAGCCAGGGCCGCCCTTGGTTTACCTTAAGCAAAAAAAGAGAGAAGAGGAGGGGAGAGGAAGGGAGGGGAGGGAAGAGGAGAAGAGAGGAGAGAAAGGAAGCAGAGAGGAGAGGAGAGAAAAGAAAAGAAAAAAGTAGGACGAAAAGAAAAAGGGATATTTCTTAGTCACTGAGAAGTCCGTGGATTCAGGAGCTGGGGCTCTGGCAGTGTTTTCAGGGACCCCCAAGGGAGAGTATGGCCCCAAGCGGCTCCAGGCAGGTAAACTATCAGCTTAGTGCCTTTGGTAAGCAAACACACTGACCCAAAGTCAGCCATGTGGCTTTCATCGATTCCCAGGGCCTGGGAACCTGCTGGTTGGCCAGATCTGGGTCATGGACACGGCCCTGGAGCTAGGCAGTGGGGGTGGAGGTGGGGGCGGTCATTTGTACCCAAACCAGGAGAGTGAGAGACAAAGCACAGGGAAAGGCAGTGCCCCAACAGAGGGCGGGGGATGCCAAAGAACAGAGATGTACAACTCCAGGCCCTTCGGGGAGGTGACCACGAGCTGGGACTGGGGAGGATGAGTGGGCCTGGGGGGGACACAGGCGGTGCAGGGGAGGGCAGAGGGACATGAAAATGGATGGTGTGTGCTGGGAACAAGTTGGGGGTGGTTGATGGGGAGGGGAAGTAGGGACAGAGTTGGGGGAGGGGAAGTGACTGAGGAGCTGGGCTGGGGACCCCAGCTCAGGTAGGGCCTGGGAGGACATGCGAAGGAGTTAGGACTTAGCAGAGGCCGTGGGAGCCAGGAAAGCCTAAGGAAGGGAATGTGCTTCCCTGGTCTTTCTAATGACCCTGACTCCTTGGGGGCTGCCCTTCAGCGCTGCGTGGGGCACTGTTGGTTCACTGTTGGGGTTGTTACAAAGATGAGTTGAGAGACTAAAGTCTTTGCGTAGGGCAGCTGCGTCATAAATGACGCCTGTTATTATTACTATTTTATTTCACTATTCTTTTTGCTCTTCTGCTCTTAACCACCGTGACCTAAATCTGCCCTGGTGCATTTTCCAGCAGGACCTGTGGACAGTCAACCTGGCCTCTGAGCCCCTTGGCTGGGTTTCCTTTCAGCTCCAGAGGAACTGAGGAAATGGCAAACAAATTCTGTTTTCACTTAATTGCCTCACATGGCTTAGAGGAACCTTCCCTTCTGGCAGCAAGCTCCAGGAACCAAGGAAGATGAGGGAAAGGGAGGTGAAGACAGGGCAGGACCCCCCATCATCTTCCTAGGGTGCTCGTTGATAGTCATGAACAGGAAGCACATGGCCAGCAAGGGAAAGGAGGGGGTGAGTTCCCAGGAGGGCAGGGTGGGAGGGAGAAGGGTGAGCAGAAATGGGCACTGAGCCTTCCACCCGTGAAACTCCTCCCCCTACACAAAAATCGCATAACAGACACAGGAAGAGGTAGAGGTAGGAGAGAACGGCGCAAAGTCATACTATGCCAAGGTTTGGAAATGGGGTGGTTAAGGAGGCAGATTGTGGCGCCAGACCACCTGGCTTTGAATCTAGGTTCAGCTCCTTGCTACTTTTGACCTTAGACAAGCCACTTCACCTCTGATGGTCTGTTTGTTCATTCATAAATAATTCAAAATCCCACCCCATGAAGTTATATTAAATTAAATGTATTATTGCTCTTAAAGTGCTCCAAGCAGTACCTGGTTCAGAGAAAACGCTCAGTGAATCTGACTGCAGTATTATGAATGTTCTTGTCAGGTCCAGGATGGGCGTGAGTGAGATAGTGCTGGATTAATCTAGATGCTTCTAGAAGTATGTAAGTCAAGTATGTGAATTAAGCATTAAGAGTAATCTATACCTGCATTGCCAGTGTGGGGGCTGTAAGCCACATGTGGCTGTTTCTACATTTCAATTGATGAAAATTAAATACAATTTTAAAATTCAGTTCCTTCATCACATGAGCCCATGTTAAGTGCTCAGGAGCCATACGTTCTGGTGGCTACGCCCTCTGCCCAGTTCAAGCCTCCCAACACTTGCCTCCATCCACTGAGAATGAAATTCATTATTTTCTTCATGACCTAAAAAGTTCCATGTGACCTGGCCCCTGCCTACTTCTGCCTCATTATTTCCTATGGTTCTGGCCACCCTGACCTCACTGAAAACACAGTGATTAAAAGCCAGCACCCTCCAGCTGCATCAGTCACACACTTGCTGTGTGACCATAAGAAAGTTTCTTAACTTCTCTGAGCCTTGGAGGATGATGCTAATAATGTGTTTTAGGGTTGTTATAAAAAGGAAATGGGTAGGGACACCTGGGTGGCTTAGTCAGTTGAATGTCTGCCTTTGGCTCAGGTTATGATCCCAGGGTTCTAGGATGGAATCCCGCATCAGGCTGCTTGCTCAGCAGGGAGCCTGCCTCTTCCTCTGCCTGCCACTCCCCCTACTTGTGCGCTTGCTTCCTGTATCTCTCTCCCACAAATAAATAAAATCTTTTAAAAAAAAAGAATTAAATGAGTAAATGTGTGTAAAGTTCTTAAAACGGAACCTGGCACTTCATAAGTGTCCTGTATGCACTGGCTATTAATGTTAGTGGTTATTGTTCAAACATACAAAAAACTGTCTTGCCTCAGGACCTTTGTTTTTGCTGTTTCTTCTGTCTAGAATGTTCTTCTCCCAGGTTTTACGTGGCTTTCACCCTCACTCAATTCAGATCTCTGCTCAGATCGTCTCTCTTTGAGAGGCCTTAACTGACTACCCTATTTAACACAGAACCTCTCCATCCTTTTCAGTCCACTTTCCCTGCTTTTTAAAATGACATCTATTACCACCTCAAGTTATATATATATTTATTTATTGTCTGCCTTTTTCTACTAGAATATCAGGTGCTTGGCAACACCACTGTATTGCCAGCCCCAAGGACACTGGCCTGTTGTAGATGCCAGATAAGTAAGGTTTTGGATGACTGGCTGGGCGGATGCATGGAAGGATGGGCAAGTGTGTGGATGGGCACGCAGGGGATGGAGTACAAAGACTGGTGGCTGAATGGCTGTATTTTGGGTAGATGCATCAGTAAACACATGGACGGTGAATTTAAGAGTATTTGAATGGACAAATGGGTGGATGATGAAGGGATGGATGGATGGAGGGTAGATGGAGGACAAGCGATGGATGCATGAATGTGTGCATGGGCCAGTGGATGGCCGGATAAATGGATGGAGTGGACGGAGGGATGGAGGGAGGGAGGGATGGATGGAGGGATGGAGGGATGAAGGAAGAAGGGATGGGTAGATGGATGGAGGGATGGAGGGAGGGATGGAGGAGATGGATGAAGAATGAAGAGGATGGCTAGATGATGGGTGAATGGATGGATGCATGGACGCGTGCCGGAGTAGATGGAAGAGTGAATGAGTGGATGGAGTGGGTCGGTGAACAGGTGAAGTGATGGACGGATGGAGGGATGAAGGGAGAAGCGGATGGATGGATGGATCAGTGGGTAGAGAGGTGAAGGACAGTAGATGGGTGGAGGGGCGGGTGGATGAAGGAAGGAGTGGATGGATGGATGAGAGATGGATAGATCAATAGATGAATGGACAGGGGAACAGCGTGGGTAGCTGGATGGATACAGGAGGGTTTGACAGATGGAGGGGAAGTTCAGGGACAGATGCTCTGGCAAGGAACCATCCTGAACTCTGCTCCTGTCCCTTTTGTTTTCCAGGCCGTCCCCAACTGCTCCTGCCCCTGTGTGCCTCTGTGTCTCTGCTGGGTGGCCTGACCTTTGGTTACGAACTGGCGGTCATATCAGGCGCCCTGCTGCCCCTGCAGCTTGACTTCGGGCTATCCTGCTTGGAGCAGGAGCTCCTGGTGGGCAGCCTGCTCCTGGGGGCTCTCCTGGCCTCCCTGGTGGGGGGCGTCCTCATCGACCACTATGGCAGGAAACAAGCCATCCTCGGCAGTAACACAGTGCTCCTGGCAGGGAGCCTGAGCCTGGGCCTGGCTGGGTCCCTGGCCTGGCTGGTCCTGGGCCGCCTGGTGGCTGGCTTTGCCATCTCCCTCTCCTCCATGGCCTGCTGTATTTATGTGGCGGAGCTGGTGGGGCCACGGCAGCGGGGAGTGCTGGTGTCCCTCTACGAGGCTGGCATCACCCTGGGGATCCTGCTGTCCTATGCACTCAACTACGCCCTGGCTGGTGTCCCCGGGGGGTGGAGGCATATGTTCGGCTGGGCTGTGGCTCCTGCTCTGCTGCAGTCCCTCAGCCTCTCCTGTCTCCCTGCTGGTACCACTGAGGCTGCACCCTGCAGGGACCTTATTCCTCTCCAGGGAGGTGAGGCCCCCAAGCTTGCGAGGCCGAGCTACTCCTTTCTGGACCTCTTCAGGGCCCGGGATAACATGCGAGGCCGGACCGTGGTGGGCCTGGGACTGGTGATCTTCCAGCAGCTAACTGGGCAGCCCAACGTGCTATGCTACGCCTCCACCGTCTTCCACTCGGTCGGCTTCCGTGGGGCCTCCTCCGCCGTGCTGGCTTCCGTGGGGCTCGGCGCCGTGAAGGTGGTGGCTACCCTGACGGCACTGGGGCTGGTGGACCGAGCGGGCCGCAGGGCGCTGTTACTGGCTGGCTGTGCCCTCATGGCCCTGTCGGTCAGTGGCATCGGCCTCGTGAGCTTGGCCGTGCCCATGGACTCCGGCCCAGGCTGCCTGGCCGCGCCCAACGCCAGCGGGCCGTCTGGCCTCCCCGGAGACTCGAGCCTGCCCCAGAGGCCTGTCCCTCCACACCCCCCACCAACGACCCGCCAGAACCCAGGGGAGCCAGGCTTGCCAGCCTCTAAGAAAATCAAGACCCCCACAGCCTCTCTGTGGCCTGCCTTGGGCACCGCTACCCCCACGTCCCCCTCCGGCCCGGAGCGCGCCGCACTGCACTGGGCCGCGCTGGTCTGCATGATGGTCTTCGTGAGCGCCTTCTCCTTCGGGTTTGGACCAGGTAGGCGGGTGTTCTCTGGCAGTGACTGCAGCCCCCCCACCCCACCCAGCGGGAAGGTTGGGGACCCTGTCGGTCAGGGTCTCAGAGGGACACTGGAGGTGGCTTGACCGAAATGCCAGGGAAGCTTACGCTTTAGGGCTCCTTGCTGACGCGGGCACTCCTTCCACGGGCCTAATTTTCTGTTTGTAGGCTATTGTTTTGTTTTCTTATAAAGGGTCCCTAATTATTTAAGTTTCAGGCTTCATGAAACTTCAGTTTGCCCCTGGGTAGAACACCCAACGGGTTTACTCGAAAGGGGTTCTGGGGGAACCTGGGTGGCTCAGTCGGTTACGTGTCTCCTTTCTACTCAGGTCATAATCCCAGGGTCCTGGCATTGAGCCCCACATTGGGCTCTCTGCTCAGCAGGGAGCCTGCTTCTCCCTCTCCTGCTGCCTGCTGCTCCTCCTGCTTGTGCTCTCTCTCTCTCTGTCAAATAAATAAAATCTTAAAAAAGAAGGGAGGGAGGGAGGGAGGGAGGGAAGGAGGAAAGGTTTCTTGCAGTGGTGTAGGGGAGGCCGGGGGAGGACTGGGTGTCCCGGGGCCTGAGATTCTGATGAGTCACATTGTTGGGGGGCTGCCCGCTGGACCATGGGTGCCAGGCCCCAGTTCCCGCCCCAGCCCATGAGTCCTCCCTTCTTTCCTGTCCTAGTGACCTGGCTCGTCCTCAGCGAGATCTATCCCGTGGAGATCCGAGGCAGAGCCTTCGCCTTCTGCAACAGCTTCAACTGGGCGACCAATCTCCTTGTCAGCCTCTCCTTCCTCGACCTCATCGGTGAGTCCTCTGACCTAAGTCCATGGTCCAGGTCCTTCTATTCCAGGAACAGTGGCCTGGGTAGGCTCTTGTTGGCTCAGCAAGGTTGCATGGCCATCCGCAGCTATAAGGCCGCAAGATTCTGATACCCAGGCCTGGGGCATGAACCAGCCCCTGGAGTCAAGGTGGGCGGGGGTCAGCTTCACCCAACCGTGGGGGAGATGGTTCCTTGAAGGAAAAGTGGGGTGCTAGTATCAGCAAAGTGGGGACAGAGGCTGGCAGACAAAGACAGGGGAAGACATGACCCTCGAGGCTTCTACCCCTGATAATTCCAGGCCCCATCAATGGGGGGGCCGACTTGATTGACAGCCTGGGAGTCTAAGTTGAAGGAGGGGAGGAGCCTCCGTCTGGAAGCCGGCTCTGATTGGTGTGGTAGGGGAGGGGACAAAGTCCCAGTGGGGGGATGGGGGAGTCTGGAGGCCAGAGTGTGGGCCTCGGGTACCCTCTCCCACAACACACGCGTTTGCACAGACGCGCACGCGCGCGCACACACAGACGTCCATTGTTTTTATTGTAGCCCGAAAGCCCTCACATTAAATAAAGCAGGGGAGTTTTTGAAAATTTCCTTCTTGTAGCCGCAGAACGATTGTGTAAATAAAATTGTGCAGAATGTAAAATTCTCCAGGCCCCGCAGCGGGCGATAGTCCCTACCCACACTGGTGAGAATGTGGCTGAGACCGAGGTACTGGGCCGCCACCTTTTCGCCACCTTTTTTATTCTAAACCGGCTCAGACTCGTGCCCACCTGTCAGCAGGACATTTCTAGTTTGGGTGACACTCTTATCTCATACCTAGTTTGGGTGATACTCTCTCTTCCTACCTCACATTCCAACCCCATCTGAGCCATGGTGGGGTGCGGTGGGAATTATCTCGGCCCAGAACACCAGAAAGGGTCTCTGAATCGCTAAAATGCTCCTGGCCCAAGGAGCGAACGTGGGAGAGGCTCCTTCCCTATGAGCCCCAAGGCACAGTTCTTAGGGCTCAGTTATATTCCCATTTTCTGCAGCCAAGCATTTCCTCCTCAAAGGCACAGCACCGCCCCCCAGCGCCTGCCCCGTCGTGGGCTGGCTGTGGGCTGTGGGAAAGCCTGGTACAAGATCATGTCCACTGTGCTTGTCTCCCAGCACCCCCAACCCCGTCTTAGGGAAGCCAAGCTTCTTCCTGTTGCCTCAGTCTTCAAGCATCCCCTTTACGTGGAGTAAATGAGGAAGAGAGGGAGAGAGGGAGGGGGAAGGAGGGAAGGAAAGGAGGAAGATGAGGGAGGGAGGAAGGAAGGGGAGGGAGGAAGGGAAGGACAGAAAGATGGAGGGAGGGAAAGAGAGAGGGAGGGAGGGGGTTACTAGAATTGTATCATACCCTTCCCATCCCCATTTCACACATGAGGCAGTACGTCTTTCCCAAGCCCAGCCGGGCAGTGAGACACTAGAACCGAGCCCCGCTCACTCCCAGTCCAGCTCTCTCCCTGCTGGTTTGAGGATTAAGTGGAGACCTGCCTGGTCAGGGGAGGGTGCTCAGAGGCCATGACCTCTACAGGTGAGAATGGCCATGACTCTGAAAGGTTATCTGTGCTTCTGCCTCAGCAAAGCCCTTCTCTGCCCTGGGCTGCCAGATTTCACAGGAGCCGGGGTCGTCCTGGGCCCTCACCTCCTGGAAGAGGCGAGGGCTTGGGAGCCAGCTGGGAGTCAGACACAGGCGACATGGGCTGAAACTCCATTCCGTGGACGGTCACTTCATTCACCCAATAACCAGTTTGTAGAATTTCAGAGGATGGTTTTAGTTTCGGGGCTGGGCTTGGCCAAGGCGGGGTCCTGTAGCTATGCTGCTGCTGAAGGGAATGCCATTTTCCCCCGTTCATGGTTTCAGATTATGACCTCAGTCTGGTGAGTGTCTGAGAGGTGGGTGACTGGTCTTTCCCATACCGTCCTGATGCCCACATCTGTGTTTGCGGGTCTGAGGCCTGGCCCTTTGCCTGCCTCTGGGATAGCCAGTCTGGCTCCTGCTTTAAGGCGCTTATCTGACAGCTTGTTGTAATTCTGCACATCGAACATCTGGAGAATGTGCTTTGGGTGAACTGATTGGCGTTGCTCACCCTGGAACCAGCCATTAGGCCCAAGCTGCGCCCCTACTGACGCTTCCGCCCTCCTGTTCCCAGGCGCCATCGGCTTATCCAGGACCTTCCTGCTCTACGGGCTGACCGCTGTCCTTGGCCTGGGTTTCATCTATGCATTTGTCCCTGAAACAAAAGGCCAGTCCTTGGCAGAGATAGACCAGCAGTTCCAGAAGAGAAGGTAAGAGGACACAGGGCTCGGCAAGGACTCACAGCATATCCTGAGCAAATCCGTTCAGGGTTTGCTCCGCGTACTTTCCCTTTGCAAGGGAGTGTTTTTCTCCTCCTCCTGACCATGTTAGTTGCCTGGACACTGTCCGTTTTGTCTTGTCTTTGTACGGGAGCTGTTTCCCTGGAGTTGTGTCTTCCTAAAGCAGAGTCTCATTGGACTTCAAGTCCCAGCTCATGGGAACTTCAAAACCATGCAGTTACGGAATCACATGAGGTCAGAGTAGCAGGATCTTAGAGTCTTGGAAGCTTAGAGAAAATAGCATAACCATGGCCTTTTAAAGTCACACACGTGGAACTGCGAGCTTAATCTACTCATTCAGCTGGTGTTCATTAAGTCCTTACTACGTGCCAGGCCATGCGTGGATCTTGGGAAATGTGGCCAGGTAAGATGGGCAAGGTCCTTGTCCTCATGGAGCTTCCATTCTGGTGGAGAAGGGTGACAGAAAACAAACAAGCCAACAAATGCAGCAACAAGAGCATTTGGCTAGTGATATGTATCTGAAGAAAATGAAATAGGGAAATATGTTGAGAAGGCCTGACTGTAAGAGTGGGGAACAGTGGGGGTTGTGGCTAAATTAGAGTGGGAGGCCAGAGAGGAGAGGCCTCACTGAGAAGGTGCAATTTCAGTTCATGAGAAGGAGACAGCCATGTAAAGATGAGGGGGAGGAGAATTCCAGGTAGAGGGAACAGCAGGTGCAAAGGCCCTGAGGTTGGGAGTGTATTCCTGCATATGCAAAAAACAGCAAGAAAGCCAGTGTGGCTGGAACAGAGGGAGGGAGGGTGGCCAGGAGGGGTAAAAGATCAGATCAGCCAAGTTGGTAGGAGCTCAGTCATCTAAGGTCTTTAGATCATAGAGAGGAGCTGAGAATCTTAGTATCATGGGGCCTTGGGCTATTCAAATAAGAGAAGAATAGGAACATCAGAAGACACCTAAAAACACTACCATCCTACATATCCTTGGCAAATGCCCCTGGTTCCTTCTTGTAGTAAGGGGAGTCGTCAGCACCTAACTGCCTGTTCTATTCCTAGGAGGCCCTAAATGACTGAAAAAATAAATCATTCTAAGCGGGAGTCGGAACTTGCCTTCTGCACTGCCCGCCAAGTCCCTCCCCCACCCCCCAGCCCCTGAAGGGATGCAGAACTGGTCCAGTGTAAAAGCCTTTAACCTGCTCCATTCCACCCCAGAGGGATCTCTGCCAGTGGAACAGCCCAGTGTGTTGGCTGACCCCTCCGCAGGCCCCTTGGTGACCCAACCCTATTGGTTAGGAAATAGATCTGGTTGCTCAGGATAGTCTCGATGTGGGGGGTCCAGGGCTGGGGTGGCGGCTGTGCTTCAAGAGGTCATCCAGGGTCCCAGGCTCCTCCTCTCTGGGTGCTCTGCCGTCTCTTTGATAATGACCTTTCCCACATGGCCTATGACAGAGAGCCACCACGGGCCTACAAGAGGGAAGGGAGAAAGGGGAGACAAAGCCTGGAAAAGGCACCTGTCATTTCCACCCGCATCCTTTGGACAGAACCTGGCTATACCTACGTGCAGGGGAGGCTGAGAAACAGGCACTTTCATCTGGGGAGCCCTGTGCTCCACTAAAATTCAAGGGTACTGTTACTAGGCTTAAGGGGGGATACAGATACCAGGAGCCATCTGGAATCTCTGCCATCCTGGCTTTCTTGGGAGAAGATTCCAGAACCCCTCCTCTGGGATGAGGCGCTAAGGAGGCAGAAAGGCAGGTAAAAGCCGCCTTTGGGGGAAAGCAGGAGGTAATTGAGGGGAGTGTCAGGCTGGACCTGGGGACTCGGGGTCTCATGGCAGAGCCTGGGCCAACCTGTGGGGCAAGGAAGCTGAGTCTGCCATGACTTTAGGAGGAGACAGAAAATTAAGGGGGCTTTGCTAAGGTCTGGCAGTCATCACTTCAGTCCCTATAGTTCAGATATGAGTCCCTGAGTTCAGAGGCCGCAGAGACAGAGACCTTCTACTCTCTGCTTGACAGGTTCGCCCTGAGCTTTGGCTCCAGGCGGAACTCCGCCCGCATTCCGTACACCCGCATTGAGGCCTCTGCAGCCTCTTGAAGAGCCTATCTGCCTGGAAGATGCTGGAACCATGGCTTTAGCAGAGAGTCTCCAGCTTCCTGCTTGCCTGGCCCCTGGAGCACGAGTTCTCAGAGGTCCTGTAAGTCATCCCTGCTCCAGAGAAGGTCTTTGGGCCCAGGTGAAAGAGGAGAAAGTTTGAGAACCCAAATGTCTTCCTTTTGACTCTCAGGCTCTGAGGGGTCCTGAGGATCTGCCTTCTTGCCTCAGTGTCCCTGAGTCTCTGCACATCCCTGCAGTACTTATAATGACAACATCTCATGGAGGCTGTTGCTTTCTCAAAGAACTTCTAAGATCCCAGCCCTGGAAGGAAGTCTCCTCTGGCCTCACCCCCAAATCCAGATGAGGAGGCTATATTCTCTGCTCTGTTTTCCCATCTGGCTGGGACTTTCTGGTGAGAGGAAGCCTGCTTTTGTCATTCACCAGCAACTCAGACTGGTGGAGGGAGAAGATGCGTGAGTTCCAACCTTTCTTCTCTGGTGTCCTAGTTGTATGACCATAGGCCTCAGTTTTTCCCATATGTACAATGGGCGACCTGGACCAAGGAGTTCTTAAGATCACTTCCTCTGCCAATGAGCTAGAATTCTAAGTGCCGCTAAGATAGCGCATATTCAGCATGGCCCCTCCTCCTAAGTGGCGGGCCATCTCTTTAGTGAAGTCAGTTTTAATTAGGGGAGCCAGCTGTAAATAGAATTCCAGAATCGTGGGCACTAAAACCGAAGAGCTTCCACGGTGCATGAAGCCAGCTCCAGGAGCTGTTTCCAGGATGTGCAGGAAAGCTTTGCAGAACGGAGGTGGGTTTGGAGGCCAACAAGGCCGGCTGTTGGCATTGCCTGTCTCCTGGCCGCTGTTGACCTTGGCTTGCTAACAGTTCTCACTAGCCTCGGTTCCCGCATCTGCAGAATGGGGATGATTAGGCCCCCCCAGGGGGGGTTACTTAACCCCAGTCTTCCTGCAGGAGGGTCTGCAGCTGGCCCTATTCAGCTAGTCAGGACCTGGCAGGGGAGGGGGGTTGGGGGGGCGATGTGTCTGCTCATCGTGTTACTCAGGTCCCCACCTGTGGGACATTGTTCAGGGTCAGCCCCTGACAGGTGAGTCAGATGGAGACTGAGCAAGAAGCTCAGGCTGGAAGTCACCAGAGGGAGGGCCTGGCAGGAGTGAGGGGCCAGATGCTGAGGAAAATGAAGAGCTAAAGCAGACTGGGGAGCCGGGGTGGGACAATGCTTCGTCGTCCACACCTGCTCCATACCCACAGGACTCTCGACTTCTCTCCTCTGGTTCTAGATGCTTCCCTTGCACCCAGTGATGTGCAAGAGGCCCCTCCCATTACTTGTGAGAGCCCCTTCTTACATTTTCGGGATTTTGGCCAGCTGGCTGTTAAACAGCCATTTAAAGATAACTTTAAATTAAATGATGGAATATTTCAGTAAATTATATTAAAAGCCAAAGTAATAAATACTAAAACCTCATCACTTCCTTACTTTGCTACATTTTACTGTCATCTGGGCTCTTGAGGCGACGTGCATGTAGTCTGTCTTAGGAGAAACACAGGGGAGATTCTCCGCGTCTCTGGATTCTGGGTACGAGGCATCATGCCCACGGGGGTGACGTGGCACCACGGGGATGGGGGAACCCTACAAGGCAGCTTGACTTATTGTTTCCTTGATGTTCCAGCCTTAAGCGTGTGATGAATAAAATGTTAATAATGTAAATTAACCTTGCGCGTGTGTTGGTCAAGTCCGTAGCTGAGACATGGCGAGTGGCCCTAAAAATTGAGGGAATAGTCTTTCACTTTCGAATGCTATTACCCAAAGCAACATACAGGTGGCTCACATCATCTATGAAGGTGTTCTGACCCACATCTTCCTTGTTTTACTTTCGTCTGATTCATTAACGTCAACCACGCCTTCCTGACGAAACTACGCCGGCTCTGCAGAGACGAGACGGGAGGGGCTCCTCTGCTGAGTCGGATTGCTGTCCCGCATTTATTCCTGGTCTGTTTTTGTCAAGTGATGGCAAAATTGCGGTGATAGTTGGTTTTGGATACAAGAATTTGGCAATAAATAAATTCATCTGCAAGAATGAGTTGGCTGTATAGAATGTATAAAGGATATTTACGACAGTGTTATTTGTAAATCTGTAAATTTTGTGTAATAAACAGATAAAATCTATACACACACTTACCAGCACGCCACTCCTTTTATCTGACCTCATGGGACCTTCAGATCCAAATGTATCTACAAAGACCCCCCCAGGCCTCTCTCAGTTCCCCTTTCCTGTCAGCCTAGAGAATGCTTAGACTAATCTTAGAATGGTCAGGGTTATACACTCAGTGGTCAGACAGGGAATGTAAGTGACTAGAGCTCCGTGGTAATACAGCAGGGAGGAGTGAGGTCTGTGGAAAACGGCAAACACAGGCCCTCTGTAAAAGGGAGAGCTGACCAATTCCAGCTGGCGCCTGCCGTGCCCATCGTGGCCTGACCATCTGTATTTCCAAGAAAATCCAGAAATTCAGACCTTGGTGCAAAATTTCCTGATTTATTCATAACAGCAATTGATTCTTAAGTGAAAAATAGCTTTTAAGCTCAACAGAACACGCCTGTGGCTGAATCATGGCCTTCCGTTTGTGCCTCAGCTCTTGATAACTTTCCCTCTGAGGCATTCCTCTCCTCTGCATTCCTGAAGCCCCCAGCTTAATCTCTGTAAAGAGTCATGGCTTTGGAAATCAATGCCAAGCACATCGAGTAGCCCAGCAGCATGAATTGAATAAGTCGGAGGAGGTGTTCTTGAACATAGAGGATGGCATCATGGAGGGAAGAAAGGGTTCTTATCTCAAACATACAGAACTGGCACAGTTAGGTGTGAAACTGGGTAATGGCTCATCTGTGTATCAGGGATGATACTATTAACTATTTAGAGATGACATATATCAATCACGAGTTACGAGCAGGGCCCATTGGTGCCCATAAATGGTTCAGTCCCAGCAGCCCCCCAGGAGCGTCTGGCCCAAGGAGAGGAAGATGGAGAGGGCAGGAACCAGGTGGCCAGACATAATTGGAGGGGGCGTCAAAGAAACCTAAAAATGTGTGGTACCTACTAGGTGCCCAGTAGTCTTTAACACTAACCAGAGAAGACGCATGGTCTGTTCCATGATCTCCAGGGAGGGTGATGGGAAGTTCTCTTTCTCCCAGATAATCTTAGAATCACTTCAGGAAAGCATTTCCAAAACCTCAGTATTATGTGCAGCCTTATCACATGCGTGCCCATCAGAGTACCTTCCTGCTGTTTGCCAAATGGTATTACACAGACTCCTTACTGAATAATTTTCTTTAAAGTGTCTTGCTTTTCAGGATACCTGGGTGGTACAGTCATTTAAGCATCTGCCTTTGGCTCAGGTCATGATCCCAGCATCTTGGGATGGAGTCCCCTGTTGGGTCCTTTGCCCGGTGGGGAGCCTGCTTCTCTCTCTGCCTGCTATTTCCCCTGCTTGTGTGCTCTCTCTCTCTAACAAATAAATAAATAAAATCTTACAAAAAGAAAAAGTGATTTGCTTTTCAACTTAAATGTATTTAAAGAGGAAATTTTATTAATTTATTTTTGGGTGGGAGGGATAGATGGCTCAATCAGTTAAGCAACTGACTCTTGGTTTTGGCTTAGGTCATGATCTCTCTCTAAAATAAATAAATAAATCTTAAGAAAGAAAGATCTGGGAGACGAGCATCCCAGGCAGATGAACTCACGTGTGCAAAGGCCCTGAGGTAAGACTGAGCTTCTCATATTGGAGGGGCCTCTAGGAGTGACTGGAGGATGGAGCGAGGAGGAAGAGGTCAGCAAGGGTTGGATCCTGAAGACCTTCCTGACCATAGAAAGCATTTCAGACGCCTCTTTCCTTCCTTCCTCCCCTCCTCCCTTCCTTCCTTTCTTTCTGATTTTTAGTGAACTCTCCACCTACTGTGGGGCTCAAACTCACAACCCCAAGATCAAGAGTCGCAGACTCTGCTGACTGAGCCAGCCAGGTGCCCCCATTTTTTCTAAATGGACTGGGAGGCCACTGGAGGATTTTGAACAGTGGATTGACACGATCTGACTTAATGCTATAAAATACCTACTGTTGGTGAAGTTGGTGACTATAGAAAATGAGTATCAATTACAGAAATAAGAAATCATAAAAATACTATAAAAGCAGGGCGCCTGGGTGGCTCAGTGGGTTAAGCCTCTGCCTTCGGCTCAGGTCATGATCTCAGGGTCCTGGGATGGAGCCCCATATCTGGCTCTCTGCTCAGCAGGGAGCCTGCTTCCCCCTCTCTGTCTACCTGCCTCTCTGCCTGCTTGTGATCTCTCTCTGTCAAATAAATAAATAAAATCTTTAAAAAATTAAAAAAAAATACTATGAAAGCAACATGACTTCACTCAACTCTGACTCTTATCTACTGAGGGCCCTACTATAATGAAAAAGGGAGCTTAGCAAGTGTGAGAGAGGCTTCAAGACAAAACAGCACCAACCTAAGACTCTGTCTTTGTCTGGCTTGGAAGAACAATGATGTGATGCAGTGTATTTGATGTGGGAAACAAAGGCAAAAGAAAAATTATTAAATTTCCTAGTACAGCCCATTGACAAGTCCTTGAAATAGGCAAGGTGACCTTCCTCTAGGAACTCAGCTGCCTCGATGTTAATACTTCACTAAGGGCAAGAGGCAGTCTTAGCCCAGCGCCCCAGGATCCTGTAAGTCTACCTTAACATATAAAAATTCCTTTGGAAACTTCCTTTATCTCTACCCCGCAAGATGCATGTTGGCAATCATCCTCCAAGCATATGGCCCACTGATATACATCTGAAGGGCCTCATGACTCGGGTTTTACTCGACAGTAATAGGTGGCCTTTTCCCAACACTAGCTAGCCCTCTCAAGGTCCTGGAAACCTTGCTTCCAAAATTCCTTAGAGACTTACACTATCCCTAACCCCCTCCCAGCTTGAAAGTATATAATGAATGGGCCACTCCTCAGGACCCCAGTGCAGGTCTTTCTGCCCCCGGGTCCTGTCCCTGTGCTTTAATAAAACCACCTTTTTCCACCAAAGATGTCTCAAGAATTCTTTCTTGGCCATTGGCTTGGAGCCCTAATATTTTCCCTGCAACTTATTTATATGATGTTTGTGAACCTAAAATCGTTACAAAGGCCATGCGTCATAAGCTTCCCACTCTTCGGTAGATACCAAAGGTCAGGAAGCCATAAGCATCAAGAAAGAGGTGGCGTATGTTGTTCCCACATCAGCCCCTCCCGGAGAACAGGGTTCATGAGGTCACTGTGGACCCAGTTGAGAGCGAGGTCCCTGCAGCAGATGTCATCAGAGGCGGTTGTGCCTTGGGTTCCTCTGGTGGAGGAGAAGGCTCTGTAGATGCCATCGTTATCTGCCTGGGACTTCTGCAGGACTGGCCATCCAGAGGTGAAGGAGGAAGTGTAGAGATCAGATGGGAAACCAAACCCTTCCCATCGCTGAGACCAT